GATATTTTCGGCGGGAGGATCGATTAAGATGGGATTATGGTTTGAATGGTATCAGGTTGATCAGACGTTACAGGAGGGGGGTTGCGGTGCGGGGTCAAATGGCTGCTTGGTGAAACGGGCAACAAAGAGCCCGGAGGTGGCCGTGGCGACTGGTGAAAACTACAAAAGCCGACACAAAATGGTGAGGGTGGTTTGCAGGCGTTACATTAGAGTGTAGGGAGAAAATCCCACCTTCAGCACATCGGCCGTAGCGAGCGGGTGAAAGGCAGCCGCAGGGAAGGCAGCCATGCCCTTGCAACTCAAAAGCTGAGCACCGGGTTCATGATCGAGAAGCCATTGCACAATGTCCTCGTTCTGCCTGCAAGCATGGTCGCATTCAATGGTGCGCTTGAGAGCTGTCACAGGTGTGGTCAATGCATTCTGTTCAATGCTGACCTGTGTGAGAAGGAGCACGTGCTGTAGACGAGGGTGCCTCCTTCTCGCTGTGCTCACAAGAAAGCGCAACATGGTGCAGTATGGCGCTTGAGCTATTCTGGGTGCATGCCTTTGAACCAGTCGCGACAGGTGTCATGTACATACCAAGCGGCGAAAGCCGTTTTGTAATAAACCACGCTGCAAAGTTTCCAGTTGGCTAATCCGGGTCGGGTCAAAGAAGCGCTGTTCAAAAGTCGACCAGCCCCAGCGATCAAACTTGGTCAAATGCTTGATACTTCCATCGTGCGTGCACTCTGCATCGACCAGCACCTAGGTCAAAGTGTCGAGGAGTTTTGGATAAGCGTCGAGTGACATGCCTGCGGTACCCAAGAGGGGCATCGAAAAAAGCAAACCTTGTCGTAAAGCTGGTCTGTGGCTTGTACAGGTGGATTGGCGGTCTGAGCCTCATCCTGCGCATCTTGTTCGCGCAGGTAGGCCTCGCGAGCTGCACGTAAATCAGGACTGCAAAAGAACATGTTTCCACATGCATGATGGCGATCTTTGCGTGGAAGGTTGCGCACAAGTCTGGCGTCCTCCTTGCGGCGCAGCAATTCGCGTTCAGAGGGCCGCGCACGCTTGGGAGTCGGTTCAGTTGTATCGCCAGCGTGCGAGCAGGCCTCGGGGACCGTTGGCATCGGCTTGAGCATCCATGAAGCAGGCCCCTCGGCAAAAGTGCACCCATCGCCCAGGAAGAGGCGAACTTTGTTGCTGGCATACTTTTGCAGCAAATTGCGACAGGCCGCCAAGCGTTCGCGCTGGACGTCGACTCCCGTCACAGAACCTTGTCCTGTTGCCACAGCATCGGCCATCATGGCCTGGATGTTGGGAAGCATGCAGAGCAGTCGATGAGCACATGGCCTATCTGTTAGTCCCAAGGAGCTAGGTGCGGTACCGTACCAGTTTTGCCCCGGGAGCTGCGCAGAGATCCAAGACATGATCGTCGGGCTCAACTTGAAGACACAGCACGGGGGCTGCACTTGCTACATCGAGACCTAAACAGCCAGCCGACAAGTGAAGCTGAGCCAACTGGCTCTGCACGCGAGAGACGGCGGGGGCACCGCACCATAAATTTGACCCCGTTGATAGAGCTCGGTGCCAGCCACCGGTACGTCCGCATGTAAAGCATAGAACCCGGGGCACCAGGGCACGGGTGCGAGGGTGGGCCCGAGCTGCGCAGTTAGTTCCTCGTCTGAAGGTGCTTGGCGAGGATTCAGCCTGTTGGGCGTGTGGGTGAGGCGACACATGGACCCACGAAGGGGGTATGGCAGGGTGCCAGCTGCTTGCATCGATGCACGCCATGCCATCAACCTCACCGGATAAAGCGCGGAAGCTCAATGTCGTAGTTTCGAGGATCAACGTGGTTCTCGCGGAGCCATTCGACAAAGCTTGCTGGAAACTTGTCCATCATACCTGAAGCCTCTGCGGTCGTAGCCATGGCTCCCGACCCCCTGGCGCCCAAAAGGCCCGATGCCCCCTCTCTCCGTACTCTAAAGTTCCGCAACTTATCAATACCAACCTGACGACGGTCTACAGTCAGTGCCCAAGTTCCACAGCCATCACCGATCACCACCTCGACACGTGCTCTGCCAACAGCACATCAAGCGCGCGCGCGAGAGAGAGAGAGATTGATTTTGAGAGAGGCGTAAGCGGAAGTGTGTTAAATATTACACTTATGTACTCGACTTGGAACTGGAAGAGAGAGAGAGAGAGTTTGTGAGAGAGAGAGATTTGTGAGAGAGTTTGTGAGAGAGTTTGTGAGAGAGAGATTTATGTGAGAGAGAGATTTAGAGAGAGAGAGAGAGAGTTTGTGTGTGTGTGTGAGAGAGAGAGAGAGAGAGAGAGAGAGAGAGATTTTGAGAGAGAGGCAGCGGGTGAAAATGGCGGCACCGGTTCAGAGTGGTGGTGCCAGTGGTGGTGATGGGATGTTGTTGGGGTATCGGGAGGTGGATCGGATGCTGGTGGACATCTTTGCAGCTGCGGGGACAGATGAGTTGACTGTGCCAGTGTTCAAAGATGCGCTTCAGCAGCGACCTCAGTTGCAAGCCTTTGTTCTGGCGGCAGCCAACGACGACTTTCAGGTACGCGGTGCATGCGAGGGCCGTGACGCACGCCCTTGGGCCATCAAGCAAGCAGGCGTAGCAGAGGACGGTGCTACAAATTTGGGCCACGAGTTTGTTCAGCGAGAAACCATGGGCTTGTCAACTCACCACATACACGTCTTGGCAAACTTGTTAGTTTTTGATGGAGCGCGTGACGAACGAAGGCCGTGTGCAATTGGGCCCCTTGTTGCGATACCTTGAACCCAATGCCTGGAAGGCACGCATGCGCACACCCACCGGCACGGACAATCTTGAGGTGGCAGCCAACCTGAGTGCTCAGCATGGTACGCCGCGCGGCCTTGACCTTGACGGCGCGGGAATGGAGTGGCAGCGCTGATACAACGTCTGTGATCACAGGGATGAATGTGCGCGTGGAGCCTACCCCAAAGCTTTACACTTATGCGGCCGGTACGATAGCGTGCATCAGAGGGAGCTGCAGGGCGTCGCAGTCCTGGGAGCCGCTGCTACAGATGGTTGTGTGCCATACAAATGGACACCAAAGCTGTGCCGCCACGCACTTCACAGGCTTGGCCCTCCTGGTTTATTTGTAGGCGAGCACCATCTGGTATCCAAGCATTTGGGTTGCATGATTGCCATCAACATGTTTCGGGCTTGCGAGGTATGTTCGTCCGAGGTTGCTGGCTCGTGAAGCGATTTGGACATTTTCTTCAAGACCCGAGACTGGGAGTGAGCCCGGATTCACCCCACGCAACAACTCTAGGCATCTTGCGAGGTGGTTCACTCGAGCAACCAGGGCATGAGCCCGCAAGAAGCGCTACCGCTTTTGCAGCGTCATGATGACACGCTTGTTGTTGAGCTCCCGGTCATCTGCGATTACGCTCGTCAACGGGTACGAATCTTGCGCTTGAGCCACAGCGGTGACAATATCATCGGAACATGCTTGGTCTTCTGTCGGCCGGCCCTGTATTCAAATGGATTCATGTTTGGGAAGGCCCTTCACACGTGTTGTCGTCTGGCGCTTTGCTGTTACCTTTTGGATCAAAGGGCCGTGATATTGATGCAGACTTGAGTTCGGCCGATGTGGCACTCGTGGCCAACGTCTCGCAAGCGGTCTTTGGTACCTTGCTTCCCATTCTGGTTTGTCTACATTCTGCAACCTTTAGGGTTATCCCTTTGCGACCCTATGTCGACAGCATTGAGCTGGCCATCGATGCGGCTCACGGTTGAATTCATGCAGATGCACGACCTGTGGACTGGCGAAGCAAACGAGGCTGCAGCAGGCTTGCAGCTGTACTTGAACGACACCTATGCCTTCCCTCTGAACCACTTTCTATGCTGGCGCTACCGTGACCGAGCGCATCGTCAGTGCCAGCGTCTGCTGCTCACTGAAGAAGTTACCGTTAGCAAGGTGCGCAGCAAGCCCTCTTGCTACCCTCGACCCTGCAAGTTTCTCCCCAAATGCATCCAGGTCCTCCTTGCACTCACCTTTTGAGCTCTGCATCGCATGCAGCTGGATCGGCTCTTCAAGCAACAAGTGTCATCCATTGCCGCCCTCCTTGAGGCTCGCACGGGACCTTACTTTTGCGGCGACTCGTACGTGCCTATTCTTTGCTCTCCATTCCTATGGTGCCACCACGGACCAAGGCAAAGCTCATCATGCTTGATGTTTGGCCGGTAACATAGGGTATGTTCGGCTGACATTATCGTCGGGAGTCTGTACGAGTACTGCCTCAAGCTGCCGCACCGGAGCGGGCTACGCCAAGCGGTGATCAGCGATGGTACTCTGAAGCGCCACGCGCACCTTGTGCACGATCAAGTAAATCTTCGCCCAGCCGCTGAGCAGCAGTGAACGTTCGCCTTATTTTCGTTTTAAGAGGGTTGACTGCTCCATTATGAATTGAGTGCACCTCATCAGAGCGCCCCCAGCCGAGGGAGGATCGAGGAAAAAACGGAGAGGCACGAGGAACAGTCGGAGTTGGAGTTGGAGTTGGAGTTGGAGAGAGAGAGAGAGGGAGAGAGGGAGAGAGAGTAATAATGAATTGGTTTGGTTGGTTTGAGAGAGAGTTTGAGAGTTTGAGTTAAGAGTTTGAGAGAGAGTTTAGAGTTTGAGAGAGAAAAGAGTTAAGGGGGCGGAATTTCCAGCATTTTGTTGGTGTCTGTGTGTTGCAGGCTGTCTGAAGGTTGACTCGGACGTGGTGTTTGAAACTGGCGGTTGCCTGGTCTGCAGGCGACGGTCGGCGCTACTGTTGTGGCTAGTGCAGCTGCAAATGCAGGGTTTGCATGGTGGTGGTTGTGATTTATCCTGAGAAGGCGTCAAGATGGCAGCAACCGCGGTTCGTTTGTGGCTCACGCTCGACTGCTTGGCTGAGCAGTCACCTCCCGACACCCCTCCTGCGTTGAACCCCCGCCCGCTCTGCAATCACTCATGCTCCAAGGCCTCTCGCTTGCTCTCATCTCAATTAGCGCGAGGACATGCGTTTCGTGCGTCTGATTCGACCAGCAGCCATGTCGGCCGAGGAGAAAGGTTCGGCGCCATGCGTCATGTTGTGATGCTCTTAGCACCTCGGCTGTATTATTCGACTTCACATGTGCATCGGTGCAATACAGGCCAAGTGGCTGATCTGCTCGAAGCGCGCATCCCTTTATTCCGGCATCCTTCCCATGCACAGCCCGTTCGTGCGGCTGAATATTCTCAGCATTACGAGTGCAAAGGTGAGACTTTGAACCTGTCTGTTTGCGTTTCAACGATCGCACCGAGCCTGGTCCTGCCGTCAGTCCCTGACAGGCTCGCTGGCTGCGAGCACATAGTTTGTGGCTTCAATCAAATCAACGAGAAGGAACGGCGCCGTTGGTATGCCGATGCCCTTCATCAGCAACCTGGTGTGCCAAAGGCAATCTGCGAGCTTTGCATGCGTGGTATGTTGCAGTGAGCATCACTTTTCAAGTTCTGTTTGGCACGACGGTGACTATTCTTCTGCAGCCTTTCACGCTAATCCTACCAACAAACGCGCCAAACTTGGGTGCGTTTAGGCGTCTATGATGTAGTCCAGGCCGCACGGCCCGTGCTGGAGGCGGGTGAATGGGTTCCTTTTCATGGCTTTCGGGTCAGTCTCTCCTGAGGGTGTCTCCTTTCCACATTCAGAGTACCTATGCTACCACCAGCTTTCACTCGTGCTTTGGTCCGTCCTCTTTGATTTTCCTTTTCCAAATGTGTAGTACAATGGCCGTCTTCCCTTGACTACTGATTGGCCCGAGCCGGATGTGAGTCAAAACAGCGACTGTCAGACCAGCTATGACGCAGGCACACCCACCCAGACAGGCACATGACCCCCTTGTTTTCCCCCTTGCACGCCCTTTTCTTAGGATCAAGTGGGCTACATTGAAAGAATCGATGCAGCCATGCGCAGTGGGGCCTTGCCATGGCGTGGTGATACCAAGCGTGTCATCTGCTTGAGCATGCATGGTCAGTCGTTGCCCTCGTTGTGACTCATGGCCCGTCCTGCACTTGCTGGAACTCACACGCCATCTGGTGCAGGCATCAAAGTGGAAGCAGAGCCCAATCTCATCTCGCGCATGGGCTCCATTGCCTCAGCGGTGAAGCACAATAATGTGAGTGACACAGGCCAGAGTAATGAGTGAGCACAGCGCGGGTTCAACTCAATCCCCGTCTTTGATCGCTTGTGCTTGTTTTATCACAGCAGTCAGGGTTCACTATGGACTTTCGGTCTGTGTTCTCCATGAACTTTTTGGACGATGATCCCAACTTTATTGTGACCGTGCTGGAGGGCGATGCGCAGCGTGGCGGTTATTGTCATGTCTTCTCGGCTGCCAACGCCGAGGTCTCAAGTCTATTGGTGGACTTGTTCTTCCACGTGGTGGATGAGCTGTACTCTTCCGTGCGTAGCATGTTATTTGGAGAGCTTGGCGGTGTGCACTTTGACTTGTCAGTGGCCTTGCTAACGGTTTTCACCCGGTGGGGTTTACAGACTGTCATGATGGCTTTGGACGACTGCATTGCTGCTGGAGCCGAGGGTCGTCTAACTATGGAGCAGGCAGTCCTTGTCAGTCAACATCTGTTCTTCGCTCCAAGCAGCTTTTCCAAACTCGTTTTTCCAGTGATTCTTCAGTCACGCACAGGCTCATGTGACATTTTATTCATCCGTTGCGCATGCAGAACCAATTGTCGCCCGATGACGACCTTACGCTGGGGCAGCGCGTATTTGTCAAGGCCAAGGGGCCAGCTTCTGCCCAGCGCATGGGCCACCGGCCTCCAAACTTTTCGCGCAGTGAATCCGAATCAGAAGACTCGGACACAGGCGAACAGGAAGTGGCTGCGGGCAGACAGGCCGGTCGCCATTCCCGCACGGATCGAGCATCGGAAAGCGAGGACAGCGATGAAGATACTAGCAGGGGGCCTATCGACGAAGAAAGTGACGACGATGAGCAACTCGCTGAGCTCGATAGCCTGGGTCTAGCCGAGGGGCAGGAGGACGAGGAGATGATGAGCGCCGTGGAAGTTGGTAAAATGCGACGAATCAAATCACGCATGCGCCCCGGTCAGTGACACGCTGGGCATGCCTTGCTATCAGAACTTCAAGGGGATCGATGGGAAGCTTGAGCTCACAATGTTTCTGCGTTGGCATGTGCTCTACCTTACCTTTCAGGTGCGGGTGGTGCCAAAACACCCCGCCGCTCCGATAAGCGAAGCAAAGACGATGATGGCAACGAAGAAGCAGCACCCCTACCTCCCGACGGTAAGCTGCCGAGCATGTCAAGTGAGGCAGGCGCTACGCGCTCGTCTTAGCTCAAGCATGTTTTTGTGGCCCATTGGGTGACATGCCATGGAGTTCACAGGACCACAAAGCATTTTTGATCTCTTTGGTCTCAATGAGCCTCAGCATGTCGAGGTTTGTCTGCTGCCATTGCGTGCTGGGGCATTTGGTCAGCTCGACTCGGGTTTGATGAGTGGTTGGTTGACACGGCGCTCGAACCTGCCACTTTAGCCCACAACCGGGGTTGTGCTTCGGCGTCCAAAGAACAACAACCTACATGGCAAGCGCCGCTCGTCGATGGATCGCTGGACAATGATGGACATTGCTGAGCAGGCCAGACCAGGTCCAGTCCGCGCTCTGCCCGCTCACATCGAAACCATTCCCGATGAAAGCGAGGAGGAGTCTGAGGCAAGCATGCCTCGGCCGGCCCCGCCACGACCCATGGGCGTCAAGGTGCTCCCCACGCAAGCCATGCCCCGTGCCCATGCGCCGGTCGAGCCGCCATCCACTCAGGTGGGGTGAACTTTTAGTCAAAGCAAAGCATGTCTGTGCAACGGCGATAGAAAGGCACGAAAATGTTCATGTGGGTGGTTGTGGACTGCTCTCGTAGGCGGCAGCACGGGTGCAAGAGCTAATGCAGGACATTCATCAGCGACTGCCGGATAAGGTGCGCCCTTTTGGCTTGGCGATCCGAGATTATCGGCAAAATCGCGACGTCAAAATGTTGGCGGACACGTTGTTGGCCATCTTCCCGGCGCAACATCGGCACTTGATCCACAAGCTGGAAAGCATGCTTCCTCCGGAGCACCGGCAGTGGTTCAATCGCATGGTGAAACGCGCCGAGGAAGAGGATTCAGAGTAAATGGTACATGGGTTTTTGTCGCCCAAGCTACGAAACCATTGGGCAATGTCTGTTTCTGTTTCGGTCTGTGCCGCGTCAGTATGAAGAACAGCTGTGCTGTCAATTAGTACAAATTCGGTCGTAAATTATGGCTCAAATTGAATATCCCATTCTATCCACGTGGGACCTCGTGACCATGAACATTGAGTGCTAGGCTGCAAGATTATGCTCTTGGCGGTTTCGGGACAATCATGGTCGGTTTCTAGGTTTCAGCTGGCATGTGGAGCTCGCGCTTAGCGCTGTCCACGTCGGGGCAGAATATAATCTCCTGGTACGTAAGCACCTCCTACAGAGCGTGGAGCATGGCAACGAGGCGTCAGACACAGGCGGTCCACTCGGTTCCGGTCCACTGATGCCGAATCTGGCGGGCTCAAAGACTCAGGAATAAAGTCACACAAACCGGTATCTGCTGAGCGAGCCATTGGGGCAGCTCTCTTGGGTGGTGGAGCACTGGAGGTGTAGGGATACGAGTGTGGGGGCGGAGCATCAACGCCTGGTGGTGGGCCACGAGGTAGCGGCTGATAGGCATTATAGTTGGGCGAGCGTTGGCGCCCTGGGGCGTAGTCGGTGGATGGGCCACCACGGGGGGGGGGTTGGTAGCCAAACGCCGCAGCTGATCTTTGTGGACTATAGGTTGGGTAGCCCGGGCCTGGTGGGGCTGTGAAGGTGTGGTTGGGTATGGGTGGGTTCCAGGGGTGTGACACATTGGTGACTGGATACTGCTGCGGGGTGGGCGGCTGTGGCGGTGGCGGCGGCGCCCCAGCCTGAGAGTAATATGGTGCTGGGATGTACGGCTCGTGGGCATGCGAGGGGATTTGCTGTGGTGAGGGCGCCGACGGGGCTGCGGACTGTTTGGGCATGGCCTGTGGTGCGTTGGTGGCACAAAGGGTGGGAGCAAACAGTCAGCAAACGAGGCTGGAGGAAAAAGGCTGGCAAGCGGTGCGCGAAAGCGCTCACACGCTGCTTCTCGGAGAGCTTCTGACGCTGGTCCTCCGCCATGGCGGCAACAGTTTTGAGGCTCGACTCTTGGGCCTCGGCGTCCTGAAGTACAGCAGGGGTGAGAATGCGCTCACAAGGTTGTCAAGGCTGGTCAAAAAGAGCCGAGGCGAGATTTAGAACTTGCTTGCAGCATTTTTTCAAGGTCTTGAATCTGTGAACGGAGGGCGAGGAGAATGGCATCACACGTGCGAACATTGCCCAGTCGATCCTCTTGTTGTGCTGTCAGTCGTCCTAAAGGCGTGGGCAGAGCATGCAACACCAGAGGGCGTGCCGGGTTGACATGGTGTGCAGGGTTGAGTTGACTGTATTTGGTGGTGCACAAGCGGGGTAGGAGCAAAACTTGTTTTACCTTGATACTGCGCAAGTAGTCGGGAGGCGGAGGCAATCGTTTCGCCGAGGTTGGCACCGTCACGTTTGGCTAATCATGAAAAGCACCATAAGACGAGCCATTTCGGGGAGCCTTGTCGGGGGAGAGCAAACACGGAATGGTATGCGTACTGGCGATGTTGTCGAAG